ATGCAAGGGTGTCGTGGCAAACACATGTATGTCCCTGTGCACTGCACAATGGTCTCCATGTGCATAATTGTGCAGCCCTGGTCACATTTATAGATTGACAGGAAAATAAGTGTGCGTTACATGTCCCTGCATTGGGGTGAGGGGGTTTCGTTGGCATATCTGTGGCGATGTGTCCTGTGGGGTCAGGTGCTGCTATCTGCATTGAATCCTCCTTTGTTCCCTTCTGCTTCTACTTGATCCACCAGTTTTGAATCGAGAAGGAGCGGCAGGCAGAACAATATTTTCAGGAGCGGGAGTGGGAGTGGGAGGAGAAGCAGCGTCTTCTACAGCAGAGGCTGAGGCTCAGGTAAGAAGAAAAAGAAGGTGAAGGGCTTGTCCACAGGCCGCTGTGGCCCGGACAGTAATGCCTGCTCACATGGAGTCAGGAAGGGCATTAGTGGGGCTGGCTCTGACAGCGGGGAGCTGAGTGGCTTTGGGCCTTGATTCCTCTCCTTGCCAAGGATCCTGCCAAACTCACCCCCTCTGCAGCCCCTGATGCCTCCTCCTTTCCCCCGGTCATCCCTTTTACAGTTCCCTTGGACCCCCCACCCCTTTAACTTGCACCCCAGGCAGCTTCTCAAGGGAAGGCCTGGTCCGAGACTGAGGGTCTGCTTGGACCCGGGGAGGATGAGCTGTTTGGGCCTGTCAGGGTGAGGGTGACAAACCCCTACAGGGCAGGGAGGGAGGCTTCGTACTACTGCCCAGGCAGAGCCTTCCCACACAGCTGGAAATTTCCAGGACTACTGTGGGATGGGGTAACATCCCTAGCACTGGCAGGAAGGGACAGCTGAAGTCAGACAGCATCCTGCTCAGCCCAGACCTCCTCAGTAAGCAGCCATCTTGGCCCGAATGGAGACCACAAAGGAGTTATTTGTGCCCTGACCCCTGGGGGCTTCAGCCTTTTCCTAACATTTCTCTGTTCTTCCCTTTTCTTGGAGAGACAGGAATCAAGTGGACCCCCAGTCCCAGACTGGACCTTCGTACCCCTGGACCTTCCACCCCTAGACACAGAGGTGGAACAGAGTTCATCTGATATCAGGATTGGTGGAGGAAGGAGGACATGCTGCTGCCTCAGGAGATCCCAACACACCCTTGAGAAAAGGTTGGGACAGGCCTGTCTGTGTTCAGTGACAGAAATAATATGGCCACAATCAATCAGCACTCCAGTTTTTGGGAGGTGGACTACCTAGAGGACACTTGAACAGCAACAGCAATCGGGAAGCTGAAGGACCACTTTGCCAGGGATGGCCTACGAATATTGTGTATTCAAACAACAGGCCACAATACACAGCAAAGGAATTCAAATGGTTTAGCACACAATGGGACTTGGAGCACAAGTCGACTTCCCCAGAGCACCTGCAGAGCAATGGGAAGCTTGAATCAGCTGTGAAGACCACCAAACAGCTCCTGGAATGGGCAAAAAGGACTGGATATGATCCCTCACTGGCTGTTGGGTTATTGCAATACCCACCCTCAGAGCCAATATGGTGGGCATTTTGTGGTGCCCCCACCCCTTGTTGCTGATTAACAGAGAGACTCTGCCCCTCAGTTCTCACTGGCAGAGAGGCTGAGGCATGGTGATGGGCAAAGAGGCAGCTGCCCTCTTGATGGGTTGGCTGCCCTTTCTGTGGCCCTGCCCATTGGTGCTGACTAGCAAAGAGACCCTGGCTGGGGGGGGAAAGGGGCATCCGCCATCCTGTGTGCTGCCTTTTGTGTTGCCGTGCCAGCTGGTGCCTTCTCCTTCTGGCATCGACAACCGCTGGCTCCCCCTGGGAAGCCAGGATTTCATTTTAAGTATTTTGTTGCTGTTGTTGATTTCGTGGACAATTCTGGGTTTCTTCTTTTCCACAAAATCTGAGAAACTTCAAAATAATTAGGTCCCTCATAGAGGTGCACCAATATATTGGTCACACATCTGATCGGCACCAATAAAAGGAAAATTTGCATTATCGACTATTGGCTTTTTTTGGCACCAATCAGTCCCCCATGAATGTGCGCAGCTGCACGCATGCATGCAGCCAGAAATGCAGGCAGGCAGCTTGGAGAGCAGTGCCGTGCTGGTAAATTTGAAGGAACATGGGGGAGGACCACATGAAAACCCAGCCATTCACAGGAAAATCTCTGTCCCTCTGTTCTGAAGGAGTGCATGGAGAAAGTCAGGCATGTTTCCATTCCTGATTCTACATGGGAGCTTTAGAAAATGAGGTTTCATGAAAAAAGCATCACTTTTCCCAATTCTTTGGAAAGAATTTAAATAAAGTATTGATCAGATCAAAGCCAAAATGTGTTGTAGGAAGATTATTTTTCTCCTTTTGGGGGGCCAGGAGTAGGGTAGAAGGCAGGAGGTGGCACAGGAAACCAAGAAATATCCCTCTCCCATGCCCCCCTGCCTTCTTTTCATTTATACAGAAAGAAATTCAGATGCATATGACCTCTCTGAAGGAAGAAAGGAAAGCTGAGACTGCCTGGTTGAAAATCCCATGTACAGGGCCTGTCACTGTAGCAAACTCCCCCAGTTTTTCTTTTTTTTATTATTTAAAATGCATTCCCTCCCCTTCCCCAACCATTTCTGACTTTCTCTCTGCCCTCTCTATCCCTGATAAGTAATTATAAGTAGTCATAGGTAAGCTAAGCTCTTATACTCCTTTATAGTAATAAGCCCCTTTTTATATTGTAAATAGTGTCCTGTTATGTTTGTATTTATTTTTAATATGATTTAGGCCTGTTTCTGTAAAGTAATGTGAAGTAATGTCAAGTTTCCATTTTGTATGTCAAGCCTCCATTTGCATCCCCTGCCCAAGTATAACCTATTGTATAGTATGTTGTAACTGTGACTCATGTCTAACCAGTCTCATGTAAATCAGTTCCTGAATGAATGGGAATGCATAAGGGTGCTTGAGGCATAATGGTAGCAGGCCTCTACTGAATGATCAGTAACAACCAGACCGTCAAACCAACAACCAGACCATCAACTCAACTGCCTGATCATTGCCTTGCATTTACTCACCCAGGAACCACAGACCTCACCCAGGAACAGAGACAAAACCCAGCATTTGAAAGATAAAGAACCTACAGGAACCAACATTTGGAAGACAAAGACCTACAGAAACCAGCAACCCCACCATTGTATCTCACCAGACAATGAGGACACCTGGATCTGCACGTATGTATCTGAGCAGGACTGGCCTTGTCTGGACATGTCCTTCCCATAGGAGACACAGGCAGCCCACCCCTATAAAAGGGGTAGTAGAGTATGACCTCTTTGGGAGGCCCTCTCCATCCGGTCCAGCACTACGCCACGTCACTTATCCACCCAGAGGCCCTGCCAGCGATCCCCTCTGGACAACACCTTGCTGGAGAAGACCCTGACTGGCCGTCAAGGATCAACTCACAGCCCAGGATAGGTAGCTATCACCCACCTTCCTTCCCCAAGCAAAGGACCTGGACTGTGTCCCCACACACCTTGATTCCAATCTCTGCACCAAACCTTTCCTTTCCTGCTACCATTGTGGGGGTGTGGGGGTGAGAGTGTCTGTGTGTGTGGGAACCAATAATTTTGTGGGACTGTATAGTGTGCTGCCTGATTAATAAAACTGTTATTTTGAAACTCCAAGTTGGGTTTGTCTTATTGACCTCCCGGCCCTCCTCCTTGATTTCCCAGCTTTCTCCCTTGGTTCTTTCTGCCTCATTTCCAGTCCTGATCTGCCAGCAGTCTGCCCCTACTTTCAGCCTCAATCTCTCAGCTTTCTGCCTCTCAGTTTCCAGCCCCAATCTCCCAGCTTTCCGCCTCTCTGTTTCCCAGCTGTCTCTTCCTTGCCACCACTTATCTGCCTCCTGACCTCCCAGCTTTCTGCCCCTTCTTTCAGCCCCAATCTCCCAGCTTTCTGCCTCTGTTTCCTAGCTGTCACCTCTGTGCCACCACTTACCTGCCTCCTGATCTCCCAGCCCCTCCATTTCCCAGCTGTCTCCTCCTTGCCACTGGGCTTTTTCCCTCACTTCCACCCCAGCACCAGGTGACCCCAAGTAACCTCAGGGCCTCAATTATTGTCAAGTAACCTCAAGCTCCAATGACCCCAAGTAACCCCTGGGGCACATTCACCCCGAGTAACCCCAACCCCAACTGACCCAAAGTAATCCCAAAGGCACCTTGACTGCAAGTAACCCCAAGCAGCAAGTTACCCCAAAATGCCCTAGTGTTCACACACAGCCACAGAAGTATGTGTTTGCATGTTTGTGTATGTGTATGTGAACTCATAGTGATGTTTGTGTAGTGTGTGTGTGTGTGTGTGTGTGTGTGTGTATGTAACCTTGTATCATGCCCTCCTAACAGCACAGTATTGAGATCCCAAGTGTTGATCTGGCATGTCTCAAGTCAACAGCACAGGCTACTTCATAACACGTGCCCCTTTATGCCATCACGTCACCATGGAGACTTGTGATGTGGGAGGGGAAAAAGGCATTGTCAAGTATTTTTCCTCATACCTCTGCTAGTATCATCCGAGAGCGCTAGTGGGTAGGTTTACTTGGGTTCCCAGTTTTGGCATTATATGTATTCTTGTTTTTTTATTCTCATTGGTTCTCATTTTTTATTCTTTGATTATATGTCTATATATTTTTACCATTAGTGATTAGGATTTATATTGTTAGTATCTTAGTAGCTTAATATTAGTTAGTTTATGTAGTTAGAAGCTTAATTTATATAGTTAGTAGCTTAATATTAGTGTTGGTAGGAATTATTTTTTTAGAAATTCTTCATATTCCCTATTGATAGGATTTCCCATAGTTTGTAAGGGTAGTGTTAGAAATAGAATAAGAATGGATAGAAGAGAAGGACCCCACCGAGTGTGTGTAAGTGGCTTGCTAGGCATTCTCCTTCATTTTTGCTGCTCTTGGTTGTAGTCTTGCAGACTGGTTACCTCTCCCACCTGGAGCAGCTTTCCAATGGGGTCCATTCTCTGTGCAGAGAATGGGAGGAAGAGGAGGAGGAGGAGGAGGAGCGTCTTCTTTGGCAGAGGCTGAGGCTCAGGTAGGAGGAGGAGGAAGGTGACGGGCTTGTCCACAGACCCGTGTGTGGCTGTGGCCCCGACAGTAATGCCTGCCCACATGGAGTCAGGATGGGCATCAGTGGGACTGTCTCTGACTACAGGGAGCTGAGTGGCTTTGGGCCTTAACTTCTCTCCTTGCCAAGGATCCTGCCAAACTCACCCCCTCTGCGGCCTCTGACACCTCCTTCTTTCCCCCAGTCATCCCTATTACAGATCCCTTGGACCCCCCACTTTACGTTGCACCCCAGGCAGCTTCCCAAGGGAGGACCTGGTCTGGGACTGAGGCTCTGCTTGGACCTGGAGAGGATGAGCTGTTTAGGCCTGTCAAGGTGAGTATGACAAACCCCTGCAGGGCAGGGAGGGAGGCTCTGTACTACTGCCCAGGCAGAGCAGAGCCTTCCCACACAGCTGGAAATTTGCAGGACCACTGTGGAATGGGGTAACATCCCTAGCACTGGCAGGAAGGGACAGCTAAAGTCAGGCAGCATCCTGCTCAGCCCAGACCACCTCAGTAAGCAGCCATCTTGGCCCGAACGGAGACCACAAAGGAGTTATTTGTGCCCTGACCCGTGGGGGTTTCTGCCTTTCCTAACATTTTTCCTGTTCTTCCCTTTTCTTGCAGGGACAGGAATCAAGTGGACCCCCAGTCTCAGGCTGGACATTCGCTCTTTCCAAAACCTAAGTTACCTCCTCTTTAGTTTGACCCCCAAAATGTAATAAATAACTTAAAATTCAGTCAGGCTCAGGATGTCCTTGCTGACCTTGGTTGGTACTACATAGTAAGGAGGACACAGGGATGGAAAAGGGTACATCTGATATCAGGAAGGGGGTGGAGGAAGGAGGACATGCTGCAGCCTCAGGAGAACCCAACACACCCTTGAGAAAAGGTTGGGACAGGCCTGTCTGTGTTCAATGACAGAAATAATATGGCCACATCTCTTTCTCCAGTTCCCTTAGCTCTGGGTCTGTGGCAGCAGGCAAGAGCAGCCAATTCCAATAACACCATGTGGAAGCTGCAGACCACGCCAACTGGGGACAGCTCCCCACTCATGATTGGACAAGTGTAACAAGCAGACGTTT